ATCTGCGCACTCGCTCGAGTAGTGCACGTAATAGTAACGCTGTGGCCACTGTCATTCGTATCCGAATAATCGAATGATTCTATATGACCACTCGAGATATCTCGAGAGATTTTCATAATCGATATAATCGATAATTTTCATTCGAGTAGTCCCATCACTATAATAAAGTAAAACTTTATACATTATATGTTTTGAGCTTTATACTCTGCTCACACATTTCTCTTTCACTGTGATTTATTAATTGTGATTGATATACGATTTTTATTTTTGCATCAGACTGCAGGTCATCTTCAGAAAATGATTGATCCAATTTACATTAATTTAATAGCTGAAGTTGAAGACGAAGAGCGAAGAAGAACATTGCGAATGGAAAGAAGACACCTTAGAGACCATTCAAATGTTTTTGAACTCCCAAATGCAGAATTTCGAAAATGTTTCCGCCTAAATAAGGATCTGGTTAATCAATTAATTGAAGAACTTACACCCCACATGAATTCTGGCCAACGCAGTACCAAAGTGCCAGTAGTAGGCCGCATTTTAGCAGCTTTACGATTCTTTGCCTTAGGTTCATACCAACGAAGCGTTGGAAATGAATCGAAAATTTCAATGGCACAACAAACTTTTAGTTCAACCCTAATGGAGGTATGCAATGCCATTGAAATAATTGCTCCAAATTGGATAAAATTTCCTACAACCCAAGCAGAGAAAGATGCAAAAAAATTATCATTTATGAGGCAATTTGCATTTCCAGGGGTAGTGGGTTGCGTTGATTGCACTCACATTGCGATTTTAGCACCTACAGAAGATGAACATCTGTATTTTAATCGAAAAAGATATCACTCAAAAAATACTCAAATTATCTGTGATGCAAACCTCGAAATACTAAATGTAAATGCCAATTTCGGAGGGGCAACACATGATGCATTTATTTGGCGAAATTCAAATATTAAACAATATTTGCAAAATAGTTATGAAATGGGCGAACAAAATAGTTGGTTGCTTGGCGATAGTGGCTATCCACAAGAACCATGGTTGATGACCCCACTTGTAAATGCTGTAGCAGATTCACCAGAGGGAAGGTATACTACAGCTTTAGTAAGAGCTCGGAACTGTGTGGAACGATGTATAGGTGAAGTATTAAGAAAAAATTACATTAGATAGAAATATACTAATAAGTTTATTATTCTAGGTACCTTAAAAATGAGATTTCGATGCCTTTTAAAAGAGCGTGTACTTCGCTATCATCCTTTAAAGCAGGACAGATTATAAATGCTTGCTGTGTTCTACACAATATGTGTGTGAGGGCTAATGTTGGTATTGATGAAGATGAATTTGAGAATGAAATTATAGACCCATTTTTTCAACCAGAATTAGCTGTTGGAGAAATTTTCCAATTAGGGCAACAACAGAGAAGGCAATTAATTAATTTGTATTTTCAATAAAGTTTTATCAAGTTGATAACTAAATATTCTCATATTTCTTTTGTTAAATTGATATTTCATTAACAAATAAAATCATTTTTGCAAATTTTATTTTGTGCCATACCATGAATAAACATTCAGTGATAAAATTCTACCTGGAAAAAGGTAATCTAGGATTTTTACAAAATAGTTTTATATTCAAAAATAAAGTTTATTGAAAACATGTACATTTTTCATAGTAGAAACAGTAAAAATGGAAATAAAATATATATCTGGATATAAATAAAATAAATATTATTCTATTTTGTTGTTAAGCTAAGCGCATACTATTCACATAGCATGCAACGAACAGATTGCATTTGTATTTGCTGTACATATAATTGATATAGGGTCCATATCACGCCGATTAGATTACCCTCACATTATAGGTACGTGATATACTATAGCAATTATATGTGCTGCAAATAAAACTGTCATCTGTCCATTACGTGTGATGTGAATAGTATTCGTTTAGCTTTAGTTGTTACAATTCTTTAAATATTCCACATATTGCGTCATGGTATCTTTAATCTCTCTAATTGAACGTGCGATATCTGAAGTGTTTTCCGATATTTTCTTTAAAATAGTTAAATTTTCATTGTGCATATGAGTTAAAGTCACATACCTCCTTGATTTCTCTGAACTTTTTACCACTTTACGTTTTGTATATGCTTCTTGACTACTTCTTTTTTTTGTAGGAATATTTTCTTTATATGCTGTACTTGTACTTGGTTTTGATGAGAGTTCCTAAAAAATGTGTATAAGAAAATAGGCATTAAAAGATAAATAGACACTTACTATTTCCATTCTACTGCCAGTAGAACTAATGGAACACTGTTTTAAAAATGACATTTCTCCTTGGGTTTCCTAAAACACACAATTTATAATTTCTTATATTTGATAGATTTATGTTTATTACTGTGTTAGTCTCTAAGTGTGTATTAAGAATATGTAAAGGTGGTGGTTCTATAGGTGTTGTTGCTACCTCAGAAATGCCCTAAAATAAAGTTTTTAAAATAACTAAATTTATGTAAAAAATACATAATCTTAACTACTGTGTAACCACTTACAAGTCCTAGTTCTTTATTTTTATCGCCTGTAATACTTTTCCAGCCCATAAGATTAATAAGACGTTCTTCTATATCATTTAGTGGTGGTGATTTCACAGGTCCTCCGCCTGTTTGTTCCATTTCCAACTTTAAATTTAGAGCTTTCGCTTTTACTTTAGATTTCCATCTTCCAATTGCCTGTAAAGTGTTCAAATTTGAAGTTTAATAATAATTAATAATTAAAATATGTACCAATTGCCATTTTTCAATACTTTTCTTGCCATAACCTAAACCATTCAACTGATCTGTGAGCTCTTCCCAAAGATTTCTAATATCTCTTTTATCTCCTTGAAAATTTTCAAACTTTGACTTTATTATCTGTGGGTACATTTCACAATACTGTACTATAGTTGACCAATGTTCATAGTTACATTTAAAATCTCTCGGTGACTCTCCTAAGTGCATTATAAAACAAAATGAGATAACTTGCATTACCAGTTACCACAAAGTATAAATATACTTTGTGTACATAGCCGAATCACAAATTCAGTGCATGCAAGTCATATTTTAATTAAGTTCTTCAAAATGCAAAATGTGCATTTTAAGAAATTTGTTAGTACACAAATTACTTATTTGGTCTTACTGATCTATGTATTCGCAATTCAGCTAAATACACCTAATTCTATTATTATTTTACCTATTATGTATTACTCACCCATTATTTTAAAAAATATAACTATCTATATATCTAAAATTATGTATGTACAACACATAACCATAGATTTAATACTTATATCACATAACACAACCACAGAATAGAATATATTCTGTGACATAACCCACAAATCATATCAAGGAACACGCAACCAAACAGATAATCTAATACGCGCCATTATTCTATGGCTAGAAATTGGCCTCAATGATTTGGGATCGAGGGGGATTATCCCTCTTTATCCTGCCTCATCT